TGCTCTTCTCCAATTCTGTCACAGGATCTTTAATGTCCACCAGAATAAATACAGACGTCCAGGACTTTGGTCTCACCCGAACAATGCATCTCTTACCCCCCCGCTCTGTACTGGAGCGTCACCTTGGAGCATGAACATAATAATAATAATAATAATAATAATCCTTGCATTTGATATAGCGCCTTATCACGTCTTCGAGACGTCTCAAAGCGCTTCACAGGATACACTGTAAAGTGATTTGACTGCACACCTTGCGGGCAAAACGCAAAACATAATCCCCGACAACAAGGCGTGTGAACGGCCGAGCCAAGGTGACAGCTAAAATCACGCCATTACCCGGGCGCCAAGCTCTTTATCCAACACGAAAAAGCACTATCATCGTCCCAGGGAAAAAGCTGGAAGTTTCAGACGATTTCCTGGGAACAAGAACGGCGGCCAATTCTGTGCTGCCAGCTGCTCCTCGGGCCCCGCAGATAGGAACGGAATGTATTCTCTGCACATCTTAAAAAACATTGCGGGCCACATGAGGAGCGTAACATATCAAAGTGCTGGAAGTCGTAATGGTTCGGACGCCTTCATTTATTTTTGTGCTCCCTTTGACGTTCAGGTGGATCGCGAGGTGGTGGGGTCAGCGTGGGTCAGTCCCGGGTTCGGGACCCACGGCATTGGCAGCCGCCATTCGCAGCGCCAAGCCCATCCCTTGCCTCCTTCGAGTCCCGCTATTTTCGCACCGGCCTCCCCCCGGCCTCCTTCAAGACCCTCCTCTTCGACCGAGCCTTCGGCCGCCCTCCTACCCTCCCCCGCCTTCAAAACCCTCCCTGATCCCAACCCCCAACTCAATGCCATTGGCGTCATATCAAGTGTCTGGAGGTGGTGTACGGGTGGGTGTGGGGCTGTTGGGTGGGGGGGTGGGAGTGGTCGGGGGGGGTGGGGGGGGTGGGGGTGGTAGGGTGGGGGGTGAAATATCCTGCAGTGACCAGAAGGTGGCGCCTGCATTGTAGGATTTCCTCTATGATGTGCTGAGTAACTGAGCAAACCTGACTGGACTGGACCTGACAATGGGAGACGTCTCGTCCGTCACCAAACCCAGCAACTTGTTTGGTACTTAAGTGGAGAACAAGAGGGACTGGAGCTCCAGGGTATTTGGGGGTTGCTGTCGTGTCCGGTTTCGCACCTCCTTACCAATCCTGCCTCCCTCCCCCCCCCACCTTCAAATCCTACCTAAAGACGTCCCTTTTTGATGGTGTTTTTACGGACGGTCAGCTGCCCCTCCGCCGCCCCCCCCCTCCCCCCACCCCCGCCACCCTCTCTCCCCGACTCGGTGTCGGACTCCACCACTGCCAAGCGCTCTGGGACGCTGCCCCATGTGACGGGCAATGCACAAGTGCGAGTTCTTCTGGTTGTTTTCAGTGATTGCATTTGCAATTCAACAGAAGAAATTGATAGACTGATTTACGAGATTCGCAAAAGAAGTTTCAATCCCCTGAGTCAGAACGAGCTGACAACAACAACAACATCAACAACAACAACTTGCATTTATACAACGCCCTTCGCGCCGAATGGTGTCTTGGGACTGGATCGGAGGGGACTCAGCGATTCCCACAAACCACAAGAATCCCCTAAAAAGCCGGAGAGCAAACTGCCATTTTCCCCCATTTCTCTCTCCCCGGCATATTCAACGGGGGGGGGGGGGGGGGGAGATGGCGTAAACATAGCAACAACAACTTGCATTTATATAGCACCCTTCATGTAGGATAGCATGATAACAATAATAATAATAATCCGTGCATTTGATACAGCAGTTTATCACGTCATTGAGACGTCTCAAAGTGCATCAAAAAGTACAACAACAACAAGATTACATTTGCACAGCGCCTTTCATGTCGGGAGGACGTCCCAAGGTGCTGGACAGTGTACAGCATTTCAAAGCGCATCAAAGGATGCACCGTAAAGTGGATTGATTGTGGTATTTTGTGGGCGAAGCGCGGCAGCTAATTGCGCGCAGCAGTGTCCCACGAACAGTCGTGGATCAAGTGACCACATTTTTTGGAGGGGGAGGGATTATTACCCCTGGAAAGCGATCCACCAATTGACTAACAGTTTACTTACTGCAAGCTAAACAGAGCCTGCGGAGTAAGGAAACTTACCTAAGGTTTCGCCCTGACCGGGAATCGAACCCGGGTCCTCTCGCTCGTGAGGCGAGCGCTCCAACCACTACCCTACGGCACTCCACAGCATATTGGAGAGCTTCACAGTGCGGCGATGGAAGAAAGGGAGAATGGGGATGAGATGTCAGGCGCAGTCAAAGAGGTAGGTTTTAGGGTGGGAATTAAAGATAGCGAGACGGAGAGGGCTGGGGGGTGGGTAGTTGGGGGTGGCAGGTGGTTCCAGAGGTTAGGGGGGGATAATGACTGCATTGGCCTCCTTCCCCTTAACCCCCAAAAAAAGTCTGAACGCAGAATTGGCCTGGAGAGAACTGAGAAGAAAGAGTTTTGCTCCAGCCCCCTGAGTTGAGCATGTCCTGACTGCAGCTGAAGAGTGCTTGGCCTCAGGGACCATACACAGAACATACATTGTTGAGTTGGATCCAAAGTATGTGGAACCCATCCAGCTCTTGGAACTAACTCCTCTTCAGCACAGAGCAGACGTCACCACAGTGAGCTGACCCGTTCAATGCCTCTCCTTTTCTCTGAGCCCCTCTGTACAATCGGCAAGCGAGAAAGAGAGAGAGAGAGACAGTCCTTGTCATTACTTGCGGCAAGAGGGGTCAGAAGCTTCTGTCAGCTCCTTAACCCCGATTGTCACGTAAAAAGGGTCAGACGCCCACGGGGGGAAATATCTTTTGGACCGTCGTTCACCATATCGAGCCTTGTTCGGGCCAGGCACTGGGGCTCGCTAACCCGACACTTTCCTCCTTCCGACCGACGCAACTGAACAGAAATGTAGTCAATAATAAAGGGAGATCGAAAAAAAGAAGGACTTTTGCATTTTTTTTTGATAGATCTTTTGCGTGCCAGAATGCCTCTCGCCATTTTATAGTAATTACTGTTGAGCGTAGTGACTGTTTATTGGGAGATCCTCCCCCACGTGAGGGGCGCTGTGGAAAATGTAATTTTGTCGTTGGATTTGCAGGCAAATGAGGCAGTTATTTTGAACGAAACAGGACTCCCCACAAAGAGTGACCAATTAACCTGGTGGGGGGGGGCGCGGGAGAGTTCTCTTTTCCAATAGCGTTACGGGATTTTTAACGACCGCCTAAAGAAGTAAACCTCTGTTTAACATGTAATCCGAAGTACAGCGTGTCGAGCACGCAGATGATAATAATCCTTGCATTTGATGCAGCGCCTTATCACATCATCGAGACGTCTCAACCACAACCTGTGTCCCGGAGCGCTTAACAGTGACGGAGTCTGACAGCGAGCCGGGGGAGAGGGAGGTGACCGTAAGACCGTAAGACCAAAAAAGGTCTTTAGGTAGGATTTCAAGGTGGGGAGGGAGGGAGGGAGGGGGCAAGGCGGAGGGATTGAGGGAGAGAGTTTCAGGGCGCAATGTAGTGGCTGAAGGCACGGCCGCCGATGGTGGGACGGAGGACACGAGGGACTAACAGGAGGCCGGAGCCGGTGGTGGGGGGGGGTAAGCAGGTCGGAGAGGTAGGGAGGTGCGGGGGAATTAAGTGATTTGAAAACGACTGAGAGGATCTCTCGAAATCGATCCGGTCGGTGATTTCAAAGCCCCAACAGCGAAGTCGAGTAAATAAATGATTCACCAATTTACTTGGGAGAACAGAAGACTTGGTGGGAAAAAGGGTAAATCAGTTTGTTGGTCCCTTACAAGTAGACAGAATGAATCATAAATCAACTCTCACTTTCTCTACTGATCCCATACACTTGACATCCATTCCCACGCTCACACACTCTCCCCCTCTCTCTCGCGCACACTCACACTTGCACTGTCTCTCACTCTTTCATGGACTGAAGGATCAGTATCCAGCACATTGGGAGTAACCCCCATCTCTTATATCCTTTACAATCATTTACTCACCCTTTTTTATACTCTTCCCTCCCTCCCTCTCTCCCTCTCTCTCTCTTCTCTCTCACACACACATAGTTTTGCTTTCTTCTCTCTTCCCATCTCTTACATTCATGCCATCATATCCATCAACAACAGCGACTTGCATTTATACTTGGCCACTCAGCGCGGGGTAGATTCCCAGAGGGCTTGACGTGAAGGCACGCACATAGACAGACACATTGTGCACATTTATAGCCCCTTTTCCATCGAGGCACAGTCTCAAAGCGCATCACGAGGGATAGAGATGATGGGGGTGGAGAGGGGGGTGCGGGGGGTGGAGGAGAGGAGGGGGACATTGAGATCGTTGAGGGCCAAAGAGATAAGTTTATTTTCAGAGACGTCTGAAAGATGGCAAGGAAGAGGAAGCAAATAATAATCGTTGCATTTGATACAGCTGCATATCATGTCTTCGAGACGTCTCAAAGCGCTTTGCAGAATATACCGTAAAGTGACTGCGTATTTTGTGGTCGAAACAAAGAAAGGGGAGGTGGGAGGGGGGGAAGGGGGGAAGGAAGCATTTATAAACCGCGAAGTGCTTCGAGACGTCTCGAAGGCGGGATAAGGCGCTATATCGAATGCGAGGATTATCATCATCATCATCGTCGGCACTATTATTATTATTATCATTATTTATTATTATTATTATTACAACCGGAGCTTCACCTGAACCACCGAAGCTGCGCCAGCCGGGGCGAAGGAGGTAGATGTCGGCTCGAGTCGCAGACCAGAAAACAGTTGAGAAAAAGTGACAAGAGAGTGGCTGAAGACATTGGGAACAAGAAAAGTGAAAGAGAGAGGCAGTGAGTGAGTGAATGAGTGAGTGAGTGAGTAAGTGAGTGAGTGAATGAATGAGTGAGTGAGTGAGTCAGTAAGTCAGAGCCTTGCCTCACAGTGACATCACCACTACAGTTCCTCTTAGTCCCCAGTGGCTGTGAATTTTGAATCAGTAGCAAGTTTTTGATGGTGATAATCACATCGACCAGATAGACATCTCTCTCTCTCTCTCCCTCTCTGAGTCTCTCTCTCTGTCTCTGTGTGTGTCTCTCTCTCCAGACCTGGGACTGAGCCTCAATGAATTAGGAGCTATGGCTGATGGGCTCAGGGGGAAGAGAAGGAAACAACCCAACCCCCAGAGAAATGACGGTAGGATGTATTATTTATACTGCAATTCCAATAAAACCAGAGCATTTATCGTATAAGATCACAATGCAGAGATGGGGAGGGGGAGAAACATCTCTTTGAGGATTGATTTGGGGTGGGTGTGGGGTCTGGGAAGACTGGGCACACATTATATTAAAGTAATGTTGTTCCCCTCATTTGCAAAGTACTTACAAATGTTATGTTTGTTTCCCCTCTGTGTGTGTTTTTGGAAGAGTGCCTGAGTTTGGGCTGTGGGTGTGTGTGTGTGTTGGTGTGTGTGTCTCTGGGTTGTTTTATTTTGATGTGAATTGTTTTTCATTTGTAAATAAAACATGTTATTGACCAGGAATAACGGTATTGTGAGTGTCTGTGAGTGTGTGAGAGAGCCAAGTCAGTGTGTGAGTGAGTGACTGAGCGACTGTGTGAGTGTGTGTGAAAGTGAGACAGTGTGTGTGAGTGAGTGTGTGTGAGTGAGACAGTGTGTGTGAGTGAGTGAGTGAGTGTGTGAGTGAAACAGTGTGTGAGTGTGTGTGTGAGAGTGTGTGTGAGTGAGAGTGTGTGTGAGTGAGACAGTGTGTGTGAGTGAGTGTGTGTGAGTGAAAGTGTGTGTGAGTGACTGAGTGAGTGAGCGTGTGAGTGAGTGAGTGAAACAGTGTGTGTGAGTGACAGAGTGAGTGAGCGTGTGAGTGAGTGAGTGAGACAGTGTGTGTGAGTGAGTGTGTGTGAGTGAGTGAGTGAGTGAGTGAGTGTGTGTGAGTGAGACAGTGTGTGTGAGTGTGTGTGTGATTGAGACAGTGAGTGAGTGAGTGAATGAGTGTGTGAGAGTGAGACAGCGTGAGTGAGTGAGTGAGTGAGTGAGTGAGTGTGTGAGTGTGAGAGTGAGACAATGTGTGTGAGTGACTGAGTGAGCGTGTGAGTGAGTGTGTGAGAGTGAGTCAGTGTGTGAGTGAGTGTGTGAGTGAGTGAGTGAGTGAGTGATTGAATGTGTGTGAGAGTGAGTCAGTGAGTGAGTCAGTGAGTATGTGAGAGTGAGACAGTGTGTGTGAGTGATTGGGTGAGTGAGTAATAAAAATTAACACTCGTTTCAAATTCCGCGCAACTTTCTTTTTGCGTATTGAACGATTTTTTGCCTCCGTCTGTCTGCCTGACCCACAAATTTAATCTGGAATAAACACCTGGATTTATCAACAACTGAGCCGATAATTAAGAGGCTTTTTGGCGGAGAGGGGTGATGGGGGGTGCGGGGGGGGGAGGAGGGCGTTGGGGGGGTGTCGAGGAAGGGATGGGATCAGGATGAGTTGGAGATATTTCAACTCAACCTCAATCCACAACTGTTTGTGGGGACGCTGCTGTGCGCAGTTGGCAGCCGTGTTTCGCCCACAAAATATACACTGCGCTTTACAGTGAATTCCGTGAAGCGCTTTGTGACATCTCGAAACCGTGAATACGGCCCGATATCAAATGCGAGGATTATTTATTATTTCTGCCCAGGAATAAAAAGCTGCTAAAACTGAGCCTCTCCGAATCCCGTTGTTGCCCCAACCAGAGACACAATGCTTTGCTTGTTTTGCGGATCGAAAAGGGTTAAAATAAAGTCTGAAACTGATGAAAAATCAAACACAAAATAAATCAAATATCACATCGTCGGCCACTACAGTACTCTGGTACTCTATCTATCTTCTTTTCATGCAATCGGCCGCCGCGTTTCGCCCACAAAGATACAGTCAATTCACTTTACAGTCTATTCTGCGAAGCGCTTTGAGACGTCGAGAAGACGTGAAAAGCGCTATATCAAATGCAAGGATTATTATTATTATTATTATAATCGGGACAGAGCGATTTGAAGGTTGCAAAAGTAGAAATTGAGGAAGGATATCAGTGGAAGGAAGGATATCAAAGCATTTCACGGGATTTACTACCAAGTGCTTTTTTTGTAGGCGAACTCAACAATTTTTCCAAAATTCCGCACAACCCTCAATTTTATGATGATGCCAATAATAATCCTTGCATTTGATACAGCACCTTATCGCGCCCTCGAGACATCTCAAAGCGCTTCACAGAATATCGGCCATTTCAATCCGCGACTGTGTGTGGAGACGCTGCTGTGCGCAATTGGCTGCCACGTTCCGCTCACAAATATACAGTCCATTCACTTTACAGCATATTCTGTGAAGCCCTTTGAGACGTCTCGAAGACGTGAAAAGAGCTATATCAAATGCAAGGATTATTATTATTATTATTACTGTAAAGTGAACTGACTGTAGGTATATATTGTGGGCGAAACTCGGCAGTCAATTGCGCACAGCAGTGTCCCACAGCCATGGATCGAGTGACCAAATTATTATTATTAGTCACAAATGCTACACCCTGCTCTCAGCTCCCAGTCTTGTATATTCAGAAAAGTCACCGGACAGCTCATTGATCGCTGTTGCTCCTGTCATCATCAACAACAACAACAACTTCCACTTATAAACCGTCCTCCACGGAGGGTAGAGACTCAGAACACTTACAATATCTAACTGCTATCTACCTATCTAACTGTTTTGGAGCCTCACAGCTCCGAAAGAACCTGGTACTTGATGGAGATCCATTATGGGAATGGATAATAATAATAATAATAATAATCCTTGCTTTTGATTTAGCGCCTTATCACGTCATTGAGATGCCTCAAAACGCTTCACAGAACACACTGTAAAGTGGACTGACTGTTGTATTTTGTGGGTGAAACGTGTATCAGAAGCGCTCAGTGAACGATCCCGTTAACACAATGACGCCATATCGTTCCGTGTTACGTTTCTTTAAATTAATGTATAAAGACGCAAAAGAGACCCACACCGTCCTAAAATTTCAATTGTTGCGTTTGATATCAGTTTAAATCAATGCAAGGAGTATAATTTGCTCACTCAATTTGTTTGTGGACACTGCTGTGCGCAATTGGCTGCCGCGTTTCACCCACAAAAAGTCAATTCACTTTACAGTGTGTTCTGTGAAGCGCTTTGGGATGTCCTCCCGACGTGAAAAGCGCTATATCAAATGCAAGGATTATTATTATTATTATAATTTGCTCACTCAATTTGTTTGTGGACACTGCCGTGCGCAATTAGCTGCCGCGTTTCACCCACAAAATAGACAGTCACTACACTTTACAGTGTATCCTGTGAAACGCTTTGAGACACCTCAACGATGTGATGGGCTGGACGCTGATATCTGTATGTTTGGAAGTTGATTACTTTCTTGTTGTCGATTGTGAAACTTCTGAGTCTCAACTTTTCTCGGGTCCCTCGGCTTGAAGCCGCCGTCTTAAGATTTCAGCTTGTGCAGAATTTTGTCAGTAACGCATTTTATATTTTAGTCTTCACTTAAATAGCCCAAAAAGAGAACTGCCGAAAAAACAGCTTCAGATTTAAGCCTGAATTTATTGTTAATGGTAACGTTAGCATTTGGTGCAGGCCCTTGCTCAGTGGAAGGACGTCTCAAAGTATATTGTGCGAAGGGCTTTGAGACACCTCAAGGACGTGATAAGGCACTGCATCAAACAAAAGGATTATTATTATTATTATTATTCGTGCCATTGTAAGGCAGTGCAATTGTCAGGCAATGTGGTTGCCCTACACATTAGGCAAGTTAAAAACTGGAGGTGTTGCTGAGCTATCTAGTGACTTGACTCATTCCCATGCAGTAGCATTGCTCAGACACGGCCCTAAATAGCCAGTCATTAGGTTTGGACGCTCAGCAGACAGAGGGTTTGGTAAACAACACGAATGTGCTGATGTACGTTGCATGCGCTGCCCCTGAGAGAGTGTGTCTCCAATGCATTTTGTACGCTGCCTGCATTTATGCACGGCAGAGTACCCGCGTAATGCATGTGTCGATGCTTTACAGAGGCTGAAAAGAGTCAAATTCAATTAAAAATATCTTTTGTGTGTGTTGCGGGTGAGAGAACGTTATCGTGTCTATCAAAGTTAGGGGTAATTACAATATATCTTTCTTTAATATTCATGTGCTCCACGATACATAATATATCAATATATAAATGTATACAGGGTGACCAAAAAATCATGCCATTACGACATCTAATAAGTCTTAAATAAATTATGATTTTTTTTAAGTTAATAGTGTAGATATCATGACTTTTTGGTTATATATCTTATATATATATCACATATTAGATGATAATTGGGTTTTAGACTTTTGTCTTTTGTAAAACAAATCAGAAATAAAGTAAACTGTAGGCTACGTTGTCCGTTTATCGAGGAAATAACAGAAGTTTGAAAAGGAGCAGGAAGAAGGAAGCTGAAAACTGACAAACCAAACTGCAGAAAACCTATCACCACAGATGAGTTGTCAGCGAAACCTAAAGGATTTGATTCACTGTGAAAGAGTGTAATTATTCTACATTGACTGGATTGAGAAGAAAGACACTTTATTATTATTATTATGCACGACCTGGCTTGGTCGCTCGTATTGTACTTTCGCCTCTGAGTCAGAAGCTTTTGAGCTCCACATCGGGGACTTTGAGCTCACAAATATAGGCCATTAATGGCAAAGCACTGCGTTATTGGAGGTGCCGTCCTTTGGATAAGATGTTAAAATCGAGGTCCCATCTCCAATTTTATCGGGAGGATTGTCATTAGAGGCCACCGGGAGACATACCCTTCTCTTTTCCAAGAGCGTCACAGGATCTTTAGTCCTGTCCCCCTGAACAGGCACGAAGGCCCTTGGAATGCTACATAATCTGTATATAATCTGCATATTTTCGCCCATAGAGTATACAGTCACTACACTTTACAGTATATCCTGTGAAGCGCTTTTAGTCGTCTCGAAGACGTGATAAGGCGCTATTTCGAATGCAAGGATGATTATTGTATGCTATATAATTTTTATAATATATATCAGTTTCATACAACGCAGGAAATATATACTTATTTAGAAGATTAATCGGTCAATTAAACATCTGGAGGTGGGGGTGGGGTGGGGAGGTGCAGGGACGAACTTACGAGATT